CCTTCACCCGCATCAAGAGGCTCTTTAGTTCCTCTTCACTTTCTGCCATGAGAGTGGTATCATCTGCATATCTGAGGTTGTTGATATTTCTCCCAGCAATCTTAATTCCAACTGGTGATTCATCTAGCCCCACCTTTCTCATGATGTGCTCTGCATATAAGTTAAATAGGCAGGGCGAGAGTATACAGCCTTGCCAAACTCCTTTCTCAATTTTGAACCAATCTGTGGTTCCGTGTCCAGTTCTCAACTGTTGCTTCTTGACCTGCATATAGGTTTCTCAAGAGAAGAATAAGATGGACTGGTACTCCCATCTGTTTAAGAACTTGCCACAATTTGTTGTGATCCACACAAAGGCTTTAGCATAGTCAATGAAGCAGATGTTTTTCTGGAACTCCCTAGCCATGATCCAGCCTATGTTGGCAATTTGATCTCTCGTTCCTCTGCCTCTTCGAAACCCTGCCTGTACTTCTGGTAGTTCTCAGTCCACATACTGCTTGGAGGATTTTGAGCATAATTTTGTATGGGAGGATGTGGAATGCACATGCCTTTAGTCAAATTAGGCAAAGCAATATGTGAAAGGATGGCCATCTTTCCCTCTTGCACCTCAAAACAGCAAAAGTGGATAGTGGGGATGATCCTGGCAGAGCTTCATTCTGCTGCACCTTACTTGGGAAAGGCCCATAAAAATGCCGTGCTTTCCCGCCAACACCACAACCATCCTCTGGTGGCAGATGGAGCACATTCTGCTGCATCTCCCCCAGAAGACCAACAAAATGTGCCCTCCTTGCTTTCTTTGCTGGCCACTACTGGAGTTTGAGAACAAGCTTGTGCTGCCACATGCTAGCCCTTCAAACGTCACATGTTCCATTGTGTTCCACGTGTTCCATTAAAGCCTCAAGCAAGGCTTGGAGAGGCATTGCATGGTGGATAACTGTGCCATTACTAGGTGCTGGCTCTTCGAATCCCAAGTGGGCTTGAGGAGGTGGCATGTGGTGGCCTGAAAGCTGAAAGGGTTTTCTGGGTACTTTGGGTGGCTGTTCTTCGAGCCATTTTGCCAGAGCTTCACACTTAAGTGCCACTCTTGTCAAACAGCTCTGCAGGCTTTGGGTTTCACGTAGCCCTGTTGTGTCATCTGAAGTCATAGCTATAAAGAAGCATGTTGAGTGAACCCAGTCATGATCTGTTCTTCATTCAACACAGGAACCAAATTAACAACTAAGCTCTGCACATCTCTGTAACCCAAAATGACCATTCACGTGACCAGAACATTGCTCCCTCTCAGATATTCAGTTGCTTGTTTTGGCACAGGGCAGTCTCAAGCAGGATGTGAATGAGATGCTTATGATGTTTGTGGCCATGAAACTAACAGAATTACATTGATCCTCCTAATCATATAAATTCTGCTTGTTATCCCTTTAATCCACATATTTTGTTTTTTCTTTTCCATTATATCTTCAAATTTAGTATATTATCTCTACATCCACCTTTTTTCTTTAGTCCACCTTTGGAATCTTTAGTCCAACTGCCCGGGCCCAATTCAAGGTGTTGATTATGACCTATAAAGCCCTAAACGGCTTGGGTCCTGGCTACCTGAACGAGCGCTTACGTCCGTTTATGCCTGACCGCCCTTTGAGATCTGCAGGAGAGGCCCTTCTCCGGGAACCCTCCATGAAAGAAATTAGGAGAGTAAGTACTCAGAGGAGGGCTTTCTCTGTGGTGGCGCCCAACCTATGGAATTCACTCCCCAAAGAGGTCCGCCTGGCACCGTCGTTACTGGTTTTTCGGCGCCAGGTAAAGACCTTTTTATTTAAACATCATTTTAATTGTTAAAACATATGATCTAGCCAGGGCAACTTCTTCTTCCTTCTCTTTTCTCCTCCTATATTTTTATTTACTTATTTTATACTGATAATTTTAATTTTATATTTGTAACTCAGTGTATTTTTTGTATTTTTGTATTTAATGGTAATTTAGTATGTTCTATTGTATTTCAATGTATTTTATTGTGTTGTAAGCCACCCCGAGGTTTCGGCAAGGGGCGGCATAGAAATGTAATAATAATAATAATAATAATAATAATAATAATAATAATAATAGAATCACATTGTCCTCACTCTTAAAAGTGAGAAAATGCTTTCCAAGTTATCTCTACCTCTTTGTATATGCAAACCTGCCCTAGTTTTTTTTCATTTTTGTTAAGTAACATACTACTATGTTAAGTATTTTCTGTTTCAGTGCATTATACTTTAATAACAACAGTACATGAACCACCATTATAAAACATATGAATATGTTATGGGCCAATGCTTATTTTAAGGTGCAAGACCCTCAGTTCCTTATTCCTATGTACTGGTTTGGAACATTGTATATGGAAATGTCTTATACAAAACCATAGTGGGATTGCAAATCACATTGGTTCATTTCATATGTTACCATATTCCTATGGTAGGAGCAAAGGGCATGGGGTGGACTAAAGTCTTATTTTGGGATGCAAAATTTTCACTTCTTTATTCATAGATATATTAGCAATTGACTTCAAAGGTGGGAAGTGAGTTGCACAGAAATGAAACTGAGTAAACCCAGAGAAACAGACATCTTTTACAAGTTTCCAGCCCCTACTTGAATATGGAAATGATATTTCCATACCTTCACAATCCAAAATAACTTTTCAGGCCACCCCAAGCCATGCATCCATACCAGTATGATTCTGTCCCCTACAAGTTGCCCAAACATTGACTTTGGCTCAAAGTTTCATTTTTGCACATGATTCAATATTTGATTCTCCAAGTCAACACTAAAGTAGACTTAGGAGAACTGTACCTCAAATTAGATTTGGGTTAGCCTAAATCAGACTGGAGGGACTGCAGGTGGCGCAGTGGTTTAAACCGCTGTGCTGCTGGGCTGGTTGATCAAAAAGTCACCGGTTCGAATCTGCACAACGGGGTGAGTTCCCGTTGTTCCATCCCAGCTCCTGCCAACCTTGCAGTTCAAAAGCATGCAAGTAGATAAAAAGGTACCACTTCGGTGGGCAGGTAACAGCATTCTGTGCACTTCAGTGTCTAGTCATGCCGGCCACATGTCCACGGAGATTGTTCGCAGACGAACGCTGGCTCCCTCGGCTAGAAAACGGAGATGAGCACCGCCCCCCAGAGTCAGGCATGACTGGACTTAATGTCAAGGGGAAACCTTTACCTTTACCTTTTTAAATCAGACTGGAATTGTGTTCTCTACAAGATACTTGAGTGCTGAGTCCAGCTCAAAGCTTTGCTTTTCTACAAATGATGCTCTCTTGCCAATCATTA